GACTACTGATCTCTCCCTCTACCCCTGGTTCTCCTGCACCAGTAGATTTCACAACTGACAGACGCCATTGCATCCGCACCCTCTGGCTGCCCATAGTGACAACAATCCATGGTGGACTTCACGCCACAACTGCGACCTATTGCCAACTACTGTCTCGCCATCAATTGCCACAAGCACCGCTTGCTGTAAAAGCCAACCTCCTCCAGGATGCACCTTCATCCCATCGAGAGCTATCCAGATCTATAGATCTGAGAGCTCTATATCCAAAGCCAGAGCACTTTCGGCAGCCGGCTTCACTATAAATTATTGAAAAGAATAGAAGATAAGAAGAATTATTGAAGAAACTTTATTGAAGAAGAAGCTTGAATGCATTAACATATCCCTCTCCTATTTATACATATTAGGAGGGAGGATTTTCCTCAACATATAGTTGCGGAAATCTTATCTGCTATCATGCCCCCGCAAGATGGTGCTCCTGGATACCAATCTTGGATAGTTTATGGCAATAGCTGCAATAGAGGAGAAAGCTGTAGCAATGTTGTAATAGAGGAAGAAGCCACAGCAGAGGAGGAAGTTGTAGCGATGTTGTAGTGATGCTACAGCAGAGGAGAATGCTACAGTAAATGTACAATAGAGAAAAAGCTGCAGTAGAGGAACAATAATGCTATAGCAAAGGAGCAATAATGCTACAAGGAGGTAACTACAGTGATGCTACAATAGAAGAGAAAGCTACAATAGAGGAGGAAGCTGCAACGATTTGGTGGAGAAACCTACAGCAATTTGCTCTTAGCAGGAGCCGAGGATCGATAGTTGATAATGAGGCAACGAGCTATGATCGATGCAGATCATAACCTGATGAAGACGATGCTACATCGGCGGACAACTTGAGCCTGGGGTCGGTGTAAGCGACACCGGTGAAGAAGGCCGCATGGAGGAGAAGAGAGAAAGAGCGGGTAGAGGTTGGAGAGGGATCCACTGCCGAGGGCGAGTAGTCGGCCGCACCAAAACAGGCCCTCATTGTTGTGGCCGCACCTGATGCTGATGCCGGGTGTGGTCTGACAAGAAAGAGTTCCCTCCTTTTCTGTTCTACAGAGGCAAAGGATATGGTGAATGGTAAGCTTCAATGAAATCTCTCTACTCTATCGAGAGAAATCATCTATTCGGTTATCATAAACAACAGAGACGTTTCACGCCACATTGGGAAACACAAACACTCGGTTTCACCTCTTGCTTCCACGTCTCAAACAATGCTCCCATCACTACCGCTACAGCTCTAATCTACTTGATCAATCCACTTCTTCAGCAAAGCTTTGGTGGAGTTTCTTCCTCGAGTTTCTCCCCTCCACTAGAAGAGCGCTCCCCCTCCTCACCGCAAGGTACTCTGCTTGCCCCAAGTGCCCCTTCCACCTTTCTTCACAAATACATCTCAAAGTTGCTGCTTCCCTCTTCGACAACACTTTCTCCATCCTAGATATGAGGATATGAGAACTCCCATTATACAAGTAGGACAGCTTCCAACAACCAATTTCTTAGTGAATCTAACATGACAATAAGTTATTTAACACTCAAATCTTCCACCATAAGATATGTAGAACTGTAGCAACTTTGCCTTGCTCGTTAAAGCAACTGTGCCTTGGAAGAAACACTGCACCTCATTGCAGTCGTCTTCCACCCTCCTACGGATAACGCCGACCAACTTGTCCCCTAGAGAACCATAGCAGTTCTCAACATATAGGCCTTATCACCATCAATGTTGTAATACCCATCCCTTTCAAATAATCTAAAGGCGATAACTACCTATCTTAGCATGCATAATTTTTTAATCTCTTATTTGGATATGATTTACTAGGCTACATCGATGATTCTCTTTATTGTCCATCAATAATGATCAACATCATAGAAGAACTCAGTCTAGTACCAAACCTAACCCACAAACTATAGCTACGCTAAGATCGTCTCTTCTCCGAGCTATTTAAGCCTAAGTCGTTAGGTCCGTCGCCCCACTAATATCTTCATGTACGATTATTGCAAAAGCATGGTACAAGTTGTAAATCACCTTGGCAAATCGCTCGCATACTCGTATATTCGGTCTTCTATCCAATCTGATGAAAATGAAATAAAAGAAAAGTTTTGAATCTTAGATTTTGATAATGAAATCAGTTGATGAGTTTATGATCTAATTAGCATTTGAGAAAAGTGATGCAGGGCTAACTTCAATCATGAAAAGGTAAATCGATTGAAGCAAGAGAATCAGACATTGGACATGAGTCAAAGATCGGGTATCGGGCTAGAAGGATCGGACATTGTGCCAAGATCTAATGTTGCGGGAATCAATATGTTAATGGATCGAGCAATACATCGAAGGAAAGTATCATGCACCAAGAGTTCGGATGAACCAATAATATGCCAAACAATATAAGATTCATGTTTTATAATCGTTTATGTCTTGATCATCATAGTTTAGGTTTTCATTAAGTTGATTTTGAGTGTAACTATGCCAACTCAATTAAAAGCTCATTGGGCTTGAATTAGGGTTGAATTTGGCATATTGGAAGGCCCATTCAATTACCTACAATTGGGTCAGACAGTGGCACCGCTAGATCAGGCGGTGGAACCGCCTATGAGTAGGAAATGCGAAGTGTACATTTCCGGAAGAATCACCAGTGCCTCGAAAACCTATGGATGATATTTTTTTTGCTTTATTTTTGAAGCAATTTGGGGCATATAAATATCTCACTCATTCTTGCTTGCTTGACATAGCAAGAAAAGAGCATGAAAAACCTGTGATAAGTGTGTAAACTCTATTAAAAGTTTTGAGTTCCTTCCTCTTTAATTTCTAAGTCATTTTAAGGGAGTTGTGATAACTACTTGTAAAAAAAGTTGTAAATGTTCTCTCTTAAACCTATGAAAAATATAAAAGTAGAAAAGAGTTGTAACAAGGGTGATTGATCTTTGCCTATTGAAAGAATATCGTTAGTGAAAGCTAGTGGTCTCGATGGAGGAGAAATCAGGAGTAAACATAGGTTACGATGATCGAACCACTATAAATTCGATGTGCATTTTCTTTATGCTTTTTATTTTTATTACTTACTGATTTAGTTGCTTACTACTTTTACTCGCATTCTAAGTTAAATGTATTTTTGGTACGGATTTGATCGAATGAAATTTTTTGAATCGTTTTAACTTTTCGAAAGCACTAGTTCACCACCCCACCCCCTTTTAATGCTTTTATGATCCTAATAGTTGGTATCAGAGTTTAGTTCTCTCATTTGGTTTAATACAGAGAGATTAAATGACTTTTTTTTAGCAATCAAGAGGGTCATTTTATCACTTATGCTCCTACATATTGGAAAACACGAATGAGGATTGTTTTGATTTCTTTGGATTTTGATTCATGGAATATTGTTGAATGTGGTTTTTAAAAATCCTCTAGACCTATGAATGAATGGAATAATCTAGAGAAGAAAATATTTTCTTTAAATGCTAAAGATATGAACGCTTTATTTTATGCTTTAAACAAGAATGGTTTAATTGCGTTTCTATATATGAGAAACTGCGCATGATATTTGGCACACACTTAAAGTTACTCATGAAGGCACAAGTAGAGTAAAAGAATATAAGATAAATCTTTTGGTACATAGTTATGAATTTTTTAAAATGAAGCCATGTGAAACCATTGGTGACATGTACACCTCTTTTATGGATGCTATCAATGGTTTGAAAACTCTTGGTAAATATTTTAGTAATCTTAAACTTATTAATAAAATCCTAAGATCCTTTCCAAAAAGTTGAGATCTAAAGGTACTCCGTCTCTTTCTTTTTGAAGATTATCTTTAGGTCACTCTATATCCTCGGGCGCTTTTTAATGGTAGCTCGAGAATAAGATTTATGACTCGAGGAGTTGTCTCCAACAAGACGAGTTCACTAATGATAACATCAATCTATTTCTCCATCGACCCTTAAGGTCACGGTGAGAGTTCCTAGTGCTTACGAACAAACTGCATGAGATGTCTCAAACATATGAGTTCTTCAATTTTCTCTTTCAAATCATGATAATCCTTTAGGTCATGGCCATAATCTTAGTGGAACCGATAGTATTTAGACTCATCTTTTTTCGCCAACTAAATCTTTCTTGAATGAGGGTCCTTTTAGAGCCCTTCTCTTTTATTCATAGAAAAACTTTATTTACAAACATATTCAGGGGGGTAAGCTTAGATCTTGGGTGAGGTAACTCTAATTATTCATTCCTCCTTTGCCATGGTGACCTTGGGGTCGCGGTAGATTGCGATTACTCCTGCTTTGGCTTCTTGCATAACTTCTCACTCTTATTTAAGACTATTACCTCGACGATAATGTATTGATTGACTCTCTGAAGTATCTCTGGTACTATCACTAAGAGAGCTTGAACTCCATCGTTAGGATTTATATTACGAGCAATAAATGGTCATATATTAGGCCTTGAATTTTATTGGTGAACTGAGCGACGAAGTCTGCAAACGTTTCCTCCCTAACAGTCAGTCTCTCATTGATCTCTTGTCCATGTGGACGATAAGGGAGTAACCTGTTTGTCTTAGATCCTTGCCCATATTGACAGAAGGGTAGAGAGTGATTTTGATCTTCTTCTTTTATGTTGGATACGACGATTACATACGAATGACAATCAATTGACAATGTATTTTCTATCAAATAATAATAATAATAATAATATAATTTCATATTGGTGCTGGGTGATGCGAGATCATACGCATCACTCGAGTATGATACCTAAAGTTCTTCTTTAAAAAATAAAAAATAATTAATCAATAATAATAAATAGATTAGTACTAATTTTCTCAAGAACATGGTTTCTTTTTCTTGTTTTTTTGTTAATTTCTGGATGGACTCGGCACATGATGGACGATCGAAACGCAGGTGGAAGGAGACATGCACGTTCATCTCGCGGTGGATCGAATCGATGCATCCAAACAAAGATCGAGTCGGAACGAGACTGACAAGGAAGGATGGCACTGTCAAAAACCCTCCGCCTACGATCGATTCACCGAACAAGTCTCAAATCACATAATTGTTGGAGCGAGCGAACAAAAGATGATGTCGAATTGGCAACCCTTTTACATATTGGAGAATATGATATGGAAGGGAATACATGGCGCTGCCTGTTCTGTTGCGCCTCCTCTTTTGCATGCCCATGCACGTCACCAGTGAGTGGTCGGGCAGATCATCGAGGGTGGTCCGCTGGTTAATTGTATCCTGGGTACAAGGGTGGCGGTGGGGATGCGTAGCTTAATCCGCCCACGGGTGGTAGCATATCCAAGTCGGGAGAAGGCGGCGGTGGTGGAGAGGAGTTGGAGGTGGGAGGATGAGATGAAACCGACGGGGGTGGAGGAGACACGGCTCGCGGTGGTGAATAGACTGGAGGAGGCGGAGAGAGCACCGGCGGAGGAGGTGGTGGTGAGTAGACGGGAGGAGGTGGAGAGCGAACAGGTGGCGGTGGTGGTGAATGAGCCGGTGGAGGCGGGGGTGAGTAGGCAGGAGGAGGTGGAGAGGGGACCGGTGGCGGCGGTGAACGGACCGGTGGAGGTGGTGAATAGACCGGTGGTGGGGGTGACGAGACTGGCGGTGGTGGTGGTGGTGGTGAGTAGACGGGAGGAGGTGGAGAACGGAGCGGTGGCGGTGGTGAATAGACCGGTGATGGTGATGAGGGAACTGGAGGAGGTGGTGCGTGGACCGGTGGCGGTGGTGAATGGACTGGGGATGGCGACGAGGAAACCGGAGGAGGTGGCGATGGGTGAGTTGGGGTGGGTGGTGGAGTCGTGGCTGGAGGTGGCGGTGAGTGAACTCGTGTTACCGGTGACTCTGAGTGTGGTGAGGGTGGAGGACGAGCCGGTGTCATTGGAGAACCTCTCTGTTGTGGCGGTGGTGGCGAGCTGACAACCTGTGGTGGCGGAGGTGGTGAAGGAACAGGTTGTGGTGGTGGTGGTGGAGGCGAGGAGCTGACAACCTTGGGTGGTGGCGATGGCGTAGTTGGATTCGGCGACGGCTTTGGGGATGGTTTCCCCGGCTTGGGCGATGGTTTCTTGGGACCTGATCCGCATTTGGAGCGACCGCAGTCGACAGGGCGGCTCACCACCGGCGCGCACATCTCACCGGACTTTTGTGTCGGTCTCCTGGCGAGGCAGTTGCTCGTGTCGTCGAACACCACGTCGGACTTGGTGGACGTCGGCACACACTCGTCGGCCTCACCCTTGAAGAAGTTGTAGGAGAAGGTGAAGTTGGCAAGGCTGGGCAACCGGCAGAGTCCCGCCGGAACGACGCCCGTGAGGACGTTATGCGACAGATCCAACTGCTCCACCTTGGTCAGACCATCGAAGCTCTTCGACAGCACACCCGTGAGGGAGTTCCAACTCACGTCCACCACCGTCGTGTTGCCCAACGACCCGATCTCCGGCGGCAAGCATCCATCGAGGCCATTGTTGAGAAGGACGAGCTCGTTGAGGGTGGCGCCCATGTCCCCGATGCTGGCCGGGATACACCCGCCGAGCTTGTTGTTGGCGAGGACGATGACGGAGGCCTTGGAGTTGCCGAAGTTGTTGGGAATGTGAGAACTGAACCGGTTGTTGTTCAGAAAGATTGCGTCCAGGTCCCTGTCGAAGAGCACCGGCGGTAGCGCGCCCTCGAAGTTGTTGAAACGAAGGTCGAGGTACTTGAGCGAGGGGAGGCCGAGAACAACATCCGGGAACGGGCCGACGAAGCGATTGTTGCTGGCGTCGAATTCATGGAGGAGCTTGAGGTGGGAGAAGCTCTTGGGGATGATGCCGCAGAAGCGATTGGAGTTGATGTGGAAGAGCGCGACGTCGGTCAAGAGGCCGAGCTCCGCCGGGAGGAACCCGGCGATGTCAGCGCCATTTAGGTCGGCGCCGGCGACGACGTTGAGCGAGGGATCGTCGGGAGCCGGTGAGCAGAATATGCCGTTGTAGCCGCACACGTCGGGGCCGTCCCAGTTGGCGGTGAAGTTGTGAGGGTCGGAGTAGATGGCGGTCTTCCAAGCTTGGAGGGCGACGTAGGAGCTGCGGAGGCGGGGATTGGAGATCCGGATGCCGATCTCGATTTCGAACTCAAAGTCATCGGGAAGTTGTCCGTTCTCAGGGAGGGCCAAGAGCTGGCGGCGGGCGATGGCAGCGGCTTCGGCGTCGGAGAGGGCCGAGGAGGGGCGCGGGAGGAAGGAGGAAGAAAAGAGGAGGAGGAAGAGGAGGAGGCAGCGGCCCAGGGCCTCCATGCTGGGTAGGGTCGAGAGAGGGAGGTGCACCACCCTGGAGAGCCCAAGGCTGCTTGCTTTAAGGGAATGCAATGGAGGGGGAGGAGGTTGATATAGCTGCGGGGGAAGGAGGATTGGAGTTGATGGCGAACGGCTTCCCTTGTTTGGAGGTGGGAGTTAGTTTTTCCTTTCTATTTCTATTGGAGAGATGGAGGAGAACGAACGACCACGGGGACGTACTGCCCCAATTGACGACGACAGGGTGGAGAATCGAATGGACGGAGGGCGATGAAGCTTTGATGGGATTTATTGGCGCATCCCCCAAACTTAGCTTGATCGACAACTAATTCCATGGAACAATATTTTTGCTTCTGATGCGCAGACCTTTCGAGCACCGTCGCATGTTGTCTCACGCCGGACCCCATTTTGCCTGCAAGGGATTTGACGCCTAATTCCACATCACTAATCTCCCTCCTCTGCAATGATATGGGTGTGAATGCTAACGGTGACCATGTGATGAGTCATCGGTCATCGTTCTCGTGAGAGAGAATGGCAGTGTGCTTCTAAAATCTCAACTACACTGATGATGCGCTACAGCATCTCAACTTCTAAGACTAAACAATGCAGATCCAACAAGAACTTGAGAATCCCTCTTCACAGCCAGCCCAGGCTGACATCTGAAATATAATGTGACATTACGGAGTATACACCCAGCAAATGACCAAGGAAAAAAGCATGATCCACGGAACTGCTGGAAGCTTTTCCAAGAAAATTTAAGAGGAATCAATGATTTCTAAATTAAGTCTCAACTCATTCTAATATATAATCATAAGGCTCCAACTTAAAACTCTCACTCTACTTGTTAAACCAACCAACACGAAAAACTGAACTACTGATGAAATCATGGAATGAGACATGTAAAGCATAACTTATCCCATCGGTGCATAGAGATATCGTCAACTCTCGTATTTACAATTAAATTTTCCAGACCACCAAGAACACAGGAACACACAAGAATCAAATAAGATTACTAGCATATGATAGATATCAAAGGAAAAATGGTCAGATTGGATCTTGACAATGCATCTTACCAAACTTCTTCTTCTTCTCTGATTAGATTGTATCTAGCATCTACCATTCTAGTTTGCAAATTTTATATTTGGTAACGAGTAGTTTACATAATTTTTTAGAGATCATCAGAAATTTGTCTGAATTCTTTGCAAAGCTTTCTTCTTTATGTCCCTCCTCTTCCTTCGATCCAATGTTGAACTAGGCACTCTTGGTCAGGCATGTTTTCCCTCCTTTTTATGTAAGGTACAAAAATTTCTCAACTTCTTTCATCACTAAATCAAGATGACTCGTTCAAAATATCACAACATACTTACATCTCCCAACTTTCAAGACCAAAGTAAACCAAACAATTTTCCCCCTAAATCAGAGAGATGCCTATTATCAAGAAAGAATATAGACTATTTTCCAATGACAACGACTCATATTGTTCCAACTATCTTGGGTCTGCTACATGGATTTTTATCCACCATTGAACCCTGTGCAAGGCAATATCTTTAGTAAAATCAAAGTACATTCAAACTATTTTTGTTGTTTCCAATAATATCTTATTATATCACTCTTTCCCTCTCTTGACTGAACTCGTCATAATTGATTCAACTTATCTTCCCACAGCGTTGATGTCTTTTTTAAGCACGTCGTACAAACAAAAATTAGATACAACTCTAACCCTAGCAAACCAAACGCCAACACAATTTGTAACCAAATTATTAACAAACTCTGCCTTTCCATCCAACATGGCCAAAATTGAAATAAGAATATTCTATTTATTTTTAGCTGCTATCCCGGCAAACTTTAAATAATAAGATAAATAATGATGCACTCCAAGAAAGAACTCTACCAAACAATGTAAGAGACAATGAATGCTTTTTTATTATCCTAACTAAATAGCCTTATTAACAAAAAGAAAAAAGGAGATAGACTGAACAGTCAATAGCCAACTAAATTTCTTAGGGCACTATGGAGCTGGATTCAAGCAAAAGTTGGTGGAAAAGATAATTTTGTTTGAAAGAAAATAAGCAGGTTATTGTAATCAGCAGAGTTCTCTGCTTTCATAGTGGACTGCGAGCAACAATTTCTTGCAACAATTTCTTAGAACTATATCGGTGTGCAATGCAAAGCAAAGCACCTATTCTCTGCTATCATAGTGGACTGCGAGCAACAATTTTCCAATTTTTAAGCAAATTGAGGTGAATGTGAGTAATTACTTTCCAGTTATAAACTGATAGCTTTTAACGAAATAACTGATTTAAAAATCCAAAGTACACAAGAAAATAGCTAATGTTCGCAGATAGATTCCAAACATCATTAATAAGGGAATTAGTTTGCTTAAAATTCACAGGTAAACTGACACAGTCAGTATCAGAACAATCCAAAACAAGTTACCGCAGAGCATACAAGCATGAACGGCTTTAGCATTAGTGGAAGTGAAAACAAAGCACTTACGAACCAAATATCATGAAAATGAACTATTACTGCTTTTATTCAAACTCAGTTCTACAACCAAGTATTGAAATCACAGAACAAAACTAATTAGAGAAACTGCAAAGATTCTGATCAAAAGGATAATAGTTGGAACATAAAGAGGCTTCGAAACTAGTTATGATGAAACTCGAGAGATATAAAGTGTCTTAGACACCTGATCTAACTAATACTGGAAGGACTCACCGGGCTTCATGCTCCGGAAGATAGAGATTGCAATGGGGATGATACCCACGAGTGCAAGTTGAAGTTGTTCTGAGGTGCTCATCCTGACGGTGATCTGCCCAGTCCACTTGTTGTTCAGCCCAACACGAACTGCCATCTTTGAATTCCTCCCAATGGAGAATTGAGACTGCAGGTTTGCACCCAAAGCCAAATCACCATGCCAACTCATCAAAGATAACCCCAAGGTGGCAAGGGCTTGACTTATGGGATAATCCTTATCTCGGAGTCGCACCTCCAAATTGGCTCCATATGCAGTATAACCTTGTGCTCGAACAGCACCAGTGCTTGCACCAAGATTCACTTGCTTCCCAATAGAAAGTTGGTCTTCAAACTTTAATCCAGTAGCTATGGTTTCCCCCAAGAAGGTTACGGAGATCCCTCCAGTAGTCCTGTTCTTTTTCAACATTTTGAACTTGGTCTCACCGCGCAGAATGTAAGAAAGTTGCTTTCCAACAGTCTGGATATCGAAGCCAGCGAGAGTAGAACCATTTTCCCCATGCTTGGCCGAGACAGAGGAATCTAAATGGATGCTGAATTCCTTTTTGTCCTTAGTCACTTGAGCTGATAAGACAGCAGGAAATCGGCCAGCAACAGCGAGGCTCTCTTCAAGGCTTACCCCATCATAACCACAATCATGATCCCAACCATGCGTATCCAGTACTGGCCTAGCAAGAAACTGTGAGGTAGTCTCTAGAAAACGGTATCGATACGATGGGGCGTCACAGTCAAAAGAAGGGGGCAATACCATATCAGGCAAAGGGACTGGTACAGTTGCAGGGGCATTATCCTGATCAAAATCTTCGACCATATCAACATGCCCAAAATCATCCTTCAACACTTTCTGTCCATTCTTCATCTCTTTCAATCGTCTGAGCTCCTCCTTCCACTGTTTTTTCTGAAGAAGCTTAACTCGGTAATCATACTCATCAAAATATGATCTTCTTTGCTCCTTGGTCAGCTTGGCAATTTGAGACTTGCTCAGGGGCTTAAATGGTGGAAGTTGATCATACTCTTCTTCTTCTTCCCCTTGATCAGCATCTGATAAGTCATCTAGGTCAATATCAGAATCTTCATTGTCACCATGATGATCGGATGGAAGTTTTGGGTGTGCTCTGGACTGCAACAGAGAAGAAAGCAGGAAGGGAAGCGGTGGAGGACGTAGACGGAGACCAAACAGTTTTCCGGGAGAAGGATCTTGAAGCTTTAGAAGTGAATTAGCTTGAGATAATATCTTTGAAGAGTAACAGAGCAGCAGCATCTGTGATCTCCATGACAGACCATTAGGGAGCACTTTTTGTCCCTCCCTGTTCTTTCTACAAGATGGATGGTTCTCAACAAGAGCCACTGGATTCATCAGGCGCATGTCTCCAGCTGCTAGCCTTATGGACTGCTGAACAGCATGAGACCTTTGGGCCACGAACACCTCATAGCTCAAAGGGGAACCACTTGGTCCATCAGGAGGGGCAGACGCAGCATGTGCGAGAGCGACAATGGCATTGAACCATATGGATGAACCCAAAGTGCTAGTAATTGTTCTTAGCAGAGGCAAGTCATTCTGATCTCGGGTCAGTGTGTCCATGCGGTCCACATACAAAACAATGTCTGGAGGGCATCTCTTTGTGTATTTCTTTATGGATGCCAGGATTCTCCTGCTTGATGCTTGGTCCATTCCTGAAGCTCTAAGACCTGGAGTATCTAAAACCCGAATCTTAACCCCCTCCACGGTTCCTACAATCTCTTTAACAGAAGTTGTTGCTGGTTCAAATGCACTGGTTGGAGACTTCTCTTCACCAAATATAGAATTTACAGTTGCACTCTTGCCCACTCCACTCTTTCCTAGGACAAGAATGTTACAGGAAAAGTCCAAATCTTCAGTTCCATCTTGTTCTAGCAGCAAAGCCTTCTTTTTTGCACTCTCAAGACTATAAGCCTGGCCAGTTTGCCTTCCACTACGAATACCTTCCGCAAGACTCAGACGATATAGCACCTGGGCTACCACCGTGTCTTCAGGTGAATGGCCCAACCTATGAACAAGACGTAGAAACTTCACCCTAATAAGCTCAACTTTCTCATGCAACTGTTTTTGTTCCTTGGTCATTTGATCATCAGGCTCTGCTGCTACAGCCAGTTCAGAAGGACTAAGAAGGTTTGATCGTGCAGGACGGGGAAGAGTAGGTTTCAGAGATGGAATTGAGGACCCCAGACCAGCTGGACGGTCAACCAAGAAGATTCTATTAGCATCTTGAGAAGTGACACTGATACCTCCATCATCAGTGGAACTGCTT